TGTTTTTAAATCGATCGCCTTAAAAAATAAACACCCTTTTTAATAAAAGCACCTGCTTAAATTTGTTATTGATGTAATATTTAATAATTTAATTTAAAAGTTTAATCCCGTCATTACTGATTTTTCAATATTATATTTTAATATTATAAGTGAATACGCTTGTCTATGCATGTACAGGGTATCAAAAACTGTTATTACTTATTTACATAAATAAATTAAAATAATTAAAGGACAATGGCAATAATTTTTTTTTCTCGATATCTATTAAAAATACCTACGAAATACTTAAAGGCACTGTTCAGCCTTTTGAATGATGGTTTATAAGGCGAATTTTAGCCCTTTTAATTGAAAAAACTAGGAAAATAAATTAAGCAAAATTCAAGATCGTCAAACTTTATGTTTTTAACATTTTAAAACATTTTTATTGTTAAAAGCATTGAGTTCACTGATCTTGAATTGTGTATAATTGATTTTCCTAGTTAGTTTTTTCAATTAAAAGGGCTGAACTGCGCCTTAAAACCATCGTTCAAAAGGCTGAACTGTGTCTTTAATTACGTATTTTCACTTGTCTTGATCTATCGCCTTTAGTTGTTCAGAAATATAATAAAACATTCGACAGTCGTCCGCCATCTTGAAAAAAACTTGCTAATTTATGCGAGAATAAATTTGTGACGTCAGGAGCAGGAAATAATAATAATATAGTAATAATAATAATTTAATCTTATAGAGCGCATCTTCTATAAATATCCAGAAGCGCTTTACATTAAATAGTGTATAAAATATTTACAAATATGGTTGACTTACAATAGTTTGATGTCAAATGTTTAACTATCCCTACATGTACGTAAAAATTAGATAAAATTTGATATTATCAATATAAAATGGGAATTGTCTATTATTATGTAAACACGCGCAGGAAGTGGCGTTCTGTTCTTATTCCCTCAAATCTGAAATACCCAACGCGAACATCGTTGGTATGCTACTAGTCCGTATAAAGTTTGTGTATCTTGTCCAAATCTTTGTCATCCAGAGGCCAGTTTAATATTTCAAGATAGCGACAAATCTGTACATGGGGAAAAAATAATAAAATAAGAAGAAGAAGAAATAATAAAGTGACACACGTCTATTTAACACCCCTTCCGTTGTAAAGGCAGTCAAGCACTTCTCCCCTTGTGCTTCAGGCTCCAAAACGAACTCTGATTATTTTCAAAGTTGTTTCTTTAAACCTGCAATTTGCTTCAAACATGGACGAAGGCGGCGCCAAATACTTGAACAAATAGTAGCAGAATCTACTTAAAAAATCACATTTGCGCGCTAAAATGTTTTGATTACTTTAATATTCCGCCATTTTATTAGCCACTTTAGAGACGAAAGATTGACATCCGAAGCGTATTCTTAGCAATCTGCATTATTCTTATACTAAGTCATATTTTTTCTAGTTGTAATATGTTAATAGTTCATTGATTAAGATCCTGGCGTGTGTTTTTATCTTAACCATGCAATGATTTTAGAAAGTTATCTCACTTTGTAAAGTAGATGACTAATCATGGCTTCTGTCCTTCCCGTTCGTGGATGACCAATTACAAGTGAGGGTATACCAAAAAGAATATCGTTGACAAGTTCAACGATACTTGAACAACCGTCCTTTGCACAGAAAGGAAAGAAAGCCTTGGAATACGGGCGCTTTCGCATAGCAAGATCGCCGAAATTCTGCTCCATCAAAGCATAGACGAACTGCGTGAACGTAGCAGGCGATGGGGCGGCAGGAATCAGGATTTCATCATAACACCAGCGGGTAAATGTATTATTAAAAAGTTTTTTGTTTATAGTAAAGCTAATGCATATTATTTTTAGTGTACGACTATTTTCGAAGACAACACTATTTTCGAAGACAACACTATTTTTAGCTCCCCGTTATGTAAAGATTCACATAGCGCGCGAAGCACCACGGTTGACTGTGATTCTTTAAATTAAAGGTGACAACTTTTTGACGAAATACATTTCCACATTAATAAATTCGCTTAAAAAAATTACGTAAAATTGAACGAATTTTGGTCCCTCAAATGTGAGTGCGTTGAATATCCCCAACAACAATTCCCACAGCCATGCGTGCCTATACTTTTAAGCAACGGAGTTACGAGAATGCAGTTTGGAGAGATATAAGAAGGGGGAGACTATTAGTATGCATTCAGTTCGCTCTTTGTTGTTCGTGGGGTCGTGATCAGCGCTTCTTCACACTTTTGCGATGGAAGGATGATTCTCCACGCACGTTTTTGTATATTTTCAATATCTTCACATAAATATTTTTGGATATTGTAATGCCAGAAATGGCACGCGTACTCCAAAACAGGTCTAATAATGGTAGTATATAGATTAATCAACGTGTCAATACACGCGTTGGACCTTTTTAGCAGCCTTAGCATATAGAGCCTCTTGCTAGCTTTTTAAACTATGTTATTTATATGTTCAAGTTTTGTCGCAGACTGGCTGATGGAGTTGATTGGTGAGAAGATCGATAAACGACAATTTGAATCTCTAAAAAACTCCTCAACAACACATGCATTATTGCGCCTTTTCTATCACTTATTAAACGAAACTGGTGTGCCGAAAAACGCCGTGAGAATATTTTTATTGGACTTCTCCAAAGCTTTTGATCTTATTGATCATAACATCAAGTTATTATTATTATTATTACAATATTGCCTGCTCTCAAAAGGGCTTTTCAGCAGGTAATTACAAATCATTTATATACTACAAACAATATATATATACACCCACAAACATACGTACATACATACAAATTGAAACATTAAAAATTTTATAATTATTAGTAATGTCACTTTAAAAATGATTAACTACTTCCTAATAAAATCCATACAGTAAAAACGTTTATATGCTAATTTAAACAAGTCCAAATTGTCTAAAACTATTAACTACTTTCTAAAAATCCATGCAATAA